AGAGTCTTTGTAGATATTTGAGGCAGGAAAAGAAGCATTGTTAGCGTGTGATAAAAGAACATTTTTGCCACTTGGATGAACGGGGAGGAAAAGCAAGAAAAAGTAGGAATTATTCTACACCAGTGATTGGAACACTAAATTAAAGAATAAAACCAACGCAATGGAATCCAAACAAAGGAACACAATAGACACACTTAGTGGAAATGAAATTGGATTTCTGAACTCGGTTTTAAACCCTGCTATGAGCTATATGCTACATCAAGAGATAAATGCTACCAATTCCGCACGTTTTCAGATAGCTCCATAAACTCTGGATAAGTATCCAATTGACTTATAGCATGACCCCCATGAAGAAGAAGTTTCCTTTAGGAAGAAGCTTTCTGATAATCCTGTAGAACTTAATGAAGATAACTACCTCCTTCCAAACAGATCAGGAGGAAGGTTAGGACAGCACACTTTGAAAAGCATGAAGAAGGAGCCTGAAGACTGACTTAGTGCAAACCCCTAACACAATAGAGTTCCACTGACTCAGTCTTAGACAAACTGTTTCCACTCTCAGGCAGATGCTATAACTCTAATGCAGTAGCTTATTTAATGACTCTCATTTAACTCATCAACCCACAAAACCAGCCTTGACTTGCAAAATAAGAAGTGACCAGAGCACAAAAAGTGGGAGGAGTATATGATGGGGAGGAAAAGGTTACTGCGATGCCAAAAGGTGTATGTAAATATACACAGGAGGATGTTTCTTACTTGCATTCGATATTGATTTTTTTTGGTCCCAATGAAGAGAATGTGATCTCTTGTATTTCAGCAAGTATAACAACAGATGTTACTATTGACCATAAAAATATGCCATCTCTTTTTTTCTCTTGCTTTTACTTTTTGAATTTTATTTTTTCTTTTTTATTAAATTTATTAGTGACATTGGTTAATAAAATTAAATAGGTTTCAAGTGTACAATTCTATATAAGACATGGAAACAACAGAAGTGACCTTTGATAGATGACTAGGTAAAGAAGATGTGATACATATATGCAACAGAATATCACTCAGCCATAAGATGAAATACTGTCATTTGCAACAATATGGATGGATGCTGAGAATATCTGCTAAGTGAAATAAGTCAGATAGAAAAATTACAGAACTATTTCACTCATATGTGAGATATAAAAATGAAAGCAACAAATGAACAAGAACAAACAGAAACTCATGCCGTCTCTTTTTTAAAGCTGGAGCTAGTGTTTGGCATTATGATGTCCCTTGGTAATAAACTCTGAAAGAGAAGTCCTAGGATCAGAAGAAGTGTTTCTCTTTATGTGGTATGGCACTTAAGAATCTCCATCTTGTGTGGTCATATAGATGGCTTAGATAAAAATTATAGACTTTCCCTATCCACATGTTATTTCCTGACATTGATTTAATTTAACTTCCAGCATTATCAAATGATAATGTATACTTCTATCATGATAACCATTCTATCTGAATAGTAGCCAGAAAATAAGTTTTGGCTAATTGTGTTGGTTCTTGACAATTAAGTTGATATGATAATATACTCTATATATAAGAATTTCAATGAGAATGCTTTCTTCCTGAAGCTCTGTCCACTTTACTGTGGAACTATATCCATAGTATTTAATGGTGTGCAGGTTGGAACAGGAGGTGAAGGAACTGCATTGTCTCTATGTCCATATGTGAGATTGTGAAAGTTTCTATAAATTTTGTTCTATGGAAATTATCTGCTAACTAACCCCCTGCTTATAGTCTTGACATTCTCTGAGTCATCTTCCCCAATTCTGCTAAAACCATCTTCTATAATGCATATTTCCCATGACACCCTATCTTTAAAACACTCCAGTGATCCCCAAATGTCTACAGAGCAAAGTCTGAGCAAACCATCATGATTCATAACACCTTTATGAACAGGCTCTCACTTGCCTTCACAGGCTCATTTGTCACCATTCTTGACCTTGCATTGTGGATCCAAGGCAAACATAGTCTATTCTGTACTTCGTGCTTTTTCTCAGGCTGTGAATCTTTGCTTGGCTAACTTCTCATCCTTTGAGAGCTCAGGCTCCCTTTCCCCCAGAAAAGAAAAGAATTTTTGCTGACGTTTTCTTCCCCTGCAGTTGGGATAAGTACGTCTTCTCTCTACTACTTTCTTCAATGACTATGTGCAAATCTTTATCTTCACACTCATGAGGCTTCACTGAAACACATTAGTGTGTTTGTTCTTACTAAACTGTAAACTGCTAGTTGCTATATTCCCAGACAGTTTCTGTCCTAGAGAAGATGAGAACTAAGAGGAGAATTTTGCTAATGGTATAAATCCTAGTCCAAGGACAGGAGAAGAACCATGTCTCAGTTCAGGCAGAGAGAGCAAAATTTCCCTTTTTCTGCCTTTTTGTTCTGTTTAGGTTCTCAATTGATTAGATAATGCCCACTCACATCTAATGGGGAGGGCAATTTGCTTTATTCAGTCTACCGGTTCAAATGGAAACACCCTAACAGATACACACAAAGGTAATATTTAACCAGATATCTGAGCATCCCCACGGCCCAGTCAAATCAACACATAAAATTAACCATTACAACCTCAAATGTAAAGTCAAGATTTAGACTAATTTGTAGGTAGCATGAATCCGTTATGTACATTATATGCTGAGGGAAATTGCATGTATATAAAAATTGTATTTTGAGACAATGAATCTAATATTGATTTGTAAAATAAAATTCAAAAGACTCCAGAAAAGGCTACACATGTGAGTCTTGACATGAGAGGTAATAACAAAGCCAAACTCTACAGTTAGGAATGTGGGGAAAGAAAATAAGAGGTAGTATTAAAAATAATCGTTGCTAAAATTTTAAATGCTTTCAGTGTGTTGAGAATTGTGTTAAGTGCCATTTAAATCTCTCAAAAACCCTGCATAAATCAAACACTGAAATCTGAGATAACTCAGGCTTAGGTTAAATAATTTGCCCAAAGTCATACTTCAGAGGTTCTAACCTAGCTCTGTGACAATTTTTACTCTTTCTCTTGCATTGCTGTGCCTCTTGGCTAAATGGGTAAATATTATGGATAAAGTTTAGCTCTTTAAGATCTTCTTCACATCTTACATATGTCTGAAAGATTTGGTAAAGTCAGGAGGGGAAAAAAATAACAGCTAAGTGTATGCAAAGGGCTGAGCTCTCTTTTATCCTCATTTGTAAGTCATGTCAAATTAGACAAGGTTTACAAAAATAGCTTAAAGACTGAAGTTCAGGACCTCCAGGGTCATTCATTTTTATTTATTGAAAACACCAAAGTGTCCAATGTGAGTTCTGTGAAGGGCAGACTACTGTGATTTTTAGTTCCTGAAATGATGTTGATACATGTGATAGGCTGAATTGTGGCTCTCCCAAAAGGTATATATCCTAAACCCTGAAATCTGTAAATGTTACTTTATATGACAAAAAAATGGACTTTGATGATTAAATGAAGGATTTTTTTTTTATGATGACATTGTTTCAGCTGTACACTTTAACAGTAAGGCATGTATATATTTACACTGTGTGTTCACTTCCCATAGTTAGATTTCTTTTTGTCATCACATAGTTGACACCCTTTAACCTGTCTACCTTCCTTCTCCCCCTACCCCCTACCCTCTGTTAACCACTAGTCTATCGTCCACATCCATGAGTCTGTTTGTTTGTTCTGTTCATTTGTTGCTTTTAGGTTTATATCTCACATATAAGTGATATGTGATTTTCAACTTTTTCTGTCTGGCTTATTTCGCTTAGCATGATTATCTCGAGGTCCATCCATGTTGTCGCAAATGGCAGTATTTCATCTCTTCTTATGGCTGAGTAATATTCCATTGTATATATGTACCACAGCTTCTTTAGCCAATCATCTATTGTAGGACACTGGTTGCTTTCATGTCTTGGTCACTGTGAATAATGCTGCTATGAACATCGGTGTGCAAATATTTTTTCAGATATAGGTTTTCAAGTCTTTGGGATAAATACCCAGTAGAGGAATTGCTGGATCATATGGTAGATCAATTCTTAGTTTTTTGAGGAAACTGCATACTGTTTTCCATAATGGCTGTACCAATTTGCAGTCCCACCAGCAGTGTATAAGGGTTCCTTTTTCTAAAGGAAGGATTTTTGAGGTGGGGAAATTATCCCAGATTACCTGTGTGGGTCCTAGATGCAAGCCCAAGTGTCTTTATAGGAGAGAGGTAGAAGGAGATTTCACAGAAGAGAAAGCAACATGGCCACAGAGGCAGAGATTGGATGATGCAGCCACACTAGAGTGCTGGCAGCCACCAGAAACTGGAAGAGGCAGGAATGGAATGGTCTCCCTTGAGCCTCCAGAGGGAGCATGGTCCTGCTCAGGCTGATTTTGCCCACTGATTTTGGACTTCTGTTTCTGGCCTCCAAAACTGTGAGAGAACATGTTTCTGTTGTTCTCTCTGTAATGTGTGAGAACACACTACTAAGTTTAGAATAATTTAATACAGCAGCCACAAGAAAATATAGTGGTCATATGTCATTGGAAGGCCTAAATCAACCTAGAAAAACACCCTTAAAATTCAATAATGCACCATTGAATTAATGTCCTTTTCACAGAGAAAAAAATGGGAGGAGGGGGCACTTCCCCTGGGAAGTGCTTTGAAAGGGCTTTGGGTTGACCTTGGAAAACAGAATATTATGACTTCCCAGACTTTGTTTACTTCCCGTGCAGACTATTCTACAGTCATTGTTTCCATACTGCCCATTTAGATTGGCACTATCGCAGATTTGACTGATGTTAAGATGTTAGAACTGACAAAATAAATGAGTGCTAATAAAACGGTGGAGTGTTCTACTATCGAGTTACTGAACCAAGGCAATGGTTTATAACGCCACGATGAAACTGAGTAATTGGATACTGTGATGAATTTGAGGAATTGCAGTTTTGTTGGTGTTAGGATTAGAAGTGCTAAACAGTAATGCCACGTTCCTTTTGTACACAGGCTCGGTGGGATGGCTTGACTGGGCGTATCACCTTCAATAAAACCGATGGCTTGAGGAAGGATTTTGATCTGGACATTATTAGTCTCAAAGAGGATGGAACTGAAAAGGTAACCTCCTCAACAAGAAATTTAAAAACAACATAAAGAGTGCTGCTCAAGCATTTTAATTGCAAATACAAGTAGAGGAATGATAAAATGAGTCTCTCAACATGTTCATTTATGCCCAGCTTTCTAGATCTCTCCCCCAGATCTGTGGATAGATGTCGACATGCTAGATTCTTAAATTATATGTGTTATTAATAGCAATGCTACTGAACATTTATATAGGACTTGATTTATATAGCAAATATGATTATGTTGGTTCATATATATAATCCAATGGATGGGTGTCATTAGCCTCATTTCTCAAAGATCTGAAGAAAGTAGGTTTAGACTTAAAAAATCAGAGGCTGTTAACGATTTATCCTCGGAATGGTTTCCAAGGATTACTCAGAAATTAATTTTAATTATACTCCATTTTGAGATTTCTGATAGAGGGACACAATAAGCCATGATAGGCTTACTGGAGCAAACTAACTGCATCCTTAATTTTAAGAGGAAATATGCTAAAAAATGTATTTTAATACTGGGTTCTGATTTTACGATTTACTTTAGGTAAATCTCAATCTCTCAAAGTTTAAAGTTCCATTTTAGTTACTAAAGCAATTCAAATGTAAACTATTTAGTTAAATAATAATAGCAATAGAATTTGGCTTCTCGGTATATTTTATTACACAATTTTAGTATTCACAACTATAATTTGGAATTAATTACCACTTATACTGTGAAGATTTTGCCCATTAGACCCCTAAAGAAAAAAGATTTGAAACCTTCAAAATAATCATCTGGACACCAAAACTCTATAATCTAACTTTTTTTGTTGTTGTGGACAAGAAGGTATGCTTAATGTAAAAGACTGGGGAACAATTACTTACTTAATTGAAATATTTGGGTTAAATTTTAAAATGAGATAATCCATTTCTGTTTTGTTGATTTTAACTGGGACACATTTGTTTTTAGGGCCTAACTATGCCCCACCCCTTAAATAGCTTAATTAAAACAAACAAGAAGTAATTAGGCTGAATGACCACTGGTGTTGATATGTTTGAGGATGATAATTAGCTTGCAGCTTTGAGATTACACATTATATATTCAAGCTTCCCTTTTTAAAGTGCCCTCTCTTTTGTCCTCTCTCCCTTCCTCCCTGCTTGTGGAGCGTCTTCACTCTGATTTGCTTATCTGTTAGCATAGCATGCTCTGACAAAGCACAAGCCATCATCTAGCCCCATAACGAAATATGGGATATAGGCTGAAAGGAACAAAAGAAAAAAGAATACCGTTATGGACTAAATTCCTAGAATTTTTTTTTTTTTTTTTAAGAAAATGTCTGCTTCTCTATGCATGCCTCTTTCTCTCCCTCTCCACTTCTCTTAATACACAGAACTAAACGGGGAAGAAAAACTGTTAAGGAAACATCTTTCTGGCTCAGATGGGTGATGAAATAGATGAAGATTTTGTTGTACTTTCACAGCTAGTTATACACTGCAATATTATACACATACTCTATTGGTATTTTTCCATCAAAGGCAAAATCAAATTAGATGAAAGTGTTTTCTCAATTTGTTTCTTATCTTTTTATTGTTTGCAATAACTTTTCTTTCTTCAGGTGACTTGGGCTCAATTCCTGAGAAGGCCGATTGGGCCTTAAGGCAATGGGGGAAGATGACCCATCTCCCTTGGGAGCCAAGGGAGGAAATGCCTAATCTTTTCTCGTCAGCCTCTCCCGGGGTCCACAGGGGAAATTGTTAGAAGCAGCTCATTTTCTCACTTTCATTCAAGTTTCTACTGCTTGGAAGCCCATAATCAAAGAATAAGTCATCGAGCATGTTTTTTTTCTCACTTAAGAATCGTGTGTGTGTGTGTGTGTGTGTGTGTGTGTGCGTGTGTGTTGATTTGATTGACTGATTGATTGGTTTTGGTTATGAATGCCTTGAGCAGGTCTTCTTAAGGGATAATGGAGACCCTTTAACTCTGCAGCATAGCTGTACATAGTCAAAAGAACTATAAATCTTTTTTCGGCATGTGAAAGAAGTGAAAATCAGGTCATGGTCCTGCCAAGTAGAAGTAACTGCTGTGGGACCCAAGTCCTCGATCATCTCTCTACCGTACCCATTCTCAGGCTTTATACTGATTTATGATGCAGGATTTCAGACAGGGGGCGGGGTAGGTAACACTCTGAGCATTCACACGTTTTGGGTTCCATGTTCTGTTTTAATTAAGTGCTATTTTTATTTTTCCCTCTGAAAACGAAGGCTGCTGGAGAAGTGTCTAAACACTTATATAAAGTGTGGAAGAAGGTTTGTACTCTGACAAAAACTGCAGGATCTGGGGGTGGGGTGGGGAACGTCAAAGGCAAAGCCGGACTCCTTCCAGTTCTTCCAGACCAGTAGCTCTCCAATTGCAGTTTAGAGGCGATATTCTTTGTAAAAGGAGAACTGGGGTGACTGAATATGTTGTCTCTCAACAACATTACCTGCGAATTGAAAACAGGCTAGTGATGGATTAAATAATGATGGATTAAATATTTTCCCCAAGATTATTTTTGTTTCTCCCAGGCAGGATCAGTCTCTGTTAGGACCAAAAGCAGGTAACTGCAACAGAAGGAAACATTGGTCTACTTATATTCCTTCTCAAATCGCTGAATACTTTCCTTAAGGGATGTAACAACCATAGATTTGATCCATCAGACTAGTCAAATAGGTTATGGCTCAGAAGGCTAGGACATCACCTTCAAAGTCATCACGACCAAATATGAGCCATTTTCAGAAATTTCCTTCTCTAGTGAATTATCTTTGTTTTATGTAGTATCTTGTCAGTACATATTGTCTCACAATTTGTTTTAGAACAACAGTTTCCAAAGGTCAAAAACATTAGAGACTTTGGAAGGGAAATTAGATTAGCTTATAAATGAGAATACCCACTATTTCATATTTGTCAATGGATGTGCACAGATTTATTATAAAAGCCAATGTTAGACATTAAAATCATTTGGATCAGGAAAATGTCTCAATGATATGCAAACCAGGTTTTTCATTCCCTCTCTCCAAAACTACTTGCTAAAATATCTGCTGATTGACAGGTGGACCTTAAATTCCTTCAGTTGTTCAATTTGAACAGTTATGTCGGGTTCATTTTCATCTGTTGAATTATCAGATAGATCACAGAAAGTGTAAACAGTTTCTCCTGTAGTCAAAAAGTTCATCTCCCTCTTGGTAGGACTCACTAGACAAGCTCAAAAATGTCCTCCTTTTAAGTTCAAACAAAACAAAACAAACACAGGTTTAACAACCTTGTTTTAATCTTCGATGAATCAGGCTACCAAAGGCACATAGAAGGCAATCTGTTTCCTTGCTGTTAATAAATAGATGAACCCACCTGGCCCCCAGAAAGAAGCTTATTATGCTAATCCAGCTAGAGACTCCAGGCACTTTATGCAATGTTGAATTAATTCAAACTAAATATCCTAAGGGGTGGAATTCAAACTCTTAAATTGTACACAGGGGAGGGAATGTTCTTTATTTGTCACTAAACTGCAATAACAGCCCCACATCCCAGATGTAACTTCTTGGCTTTGCTCTTCCTCCA